ATGATTTCCAACAGATCGCTTGTTCAGTTACATCTCTATATCGTCCAGGTCGGGTAGAGGAAAACGAAGGATTGCAGCAATGCCAGTTATCTGCGCCAGTTCTGTTCATATGATACGACGATTAGAGAGTTTGGTTCAGGAATTTTTTAAAAGTGACAGATGCTTGTAGCAGCATTCGTATGAACGAACGATGGAAAAACTTACGTTCTCCCGAAACATGCAAAGAAGAAAAGATATGAACAGTGCCCCCTGAATCCTTCACTGATTTCACCAAATTGGCATACCTTTGCCTCGCTACTACGTCGGCATTCCTGTCCATCAAGAAATTCTTAATGTTGCAGACCTTTATACTCATATATGTTTTCTCTTCTGTAATGAAAAGAACATTTGGACCAGTTCATTATTGGTAAATAAGACAGTCAAACTAACCTGAAGAGTTCATCCGTTATCAAAAGGGTTTGGATAGCCATTCGATCATGAGCAACTTCAACATGCTTCGGTCCATAGCATGCACGATCTGGATCCTGCACAATAACAACAGTAAAAATTACAAAGAATGTTGGAGGAAAACTTAGATGAAAAAACGATAAAGCTTTTCTCTAAGCACAAAAATTCTACGAGTAAAAATTACAGAAATTTAATCCCTCCGACAGACTAACAGACATATTAACTTTTGGGTTGGATGGAGTAACTACTGAATTGAAGCTGCCCTGTTGCTCATTTATGGTTGTTACTCTCTATCCTAATCTTAAAAAGTTATAACCCATGTTTTGTGGTCTTCAACTATCACTGGTTTTGTAAACATGCTTATCAAGATTAAGCCTCCAATCATTGTTCCAAAGGTTCATCAATTGGCATCCAAGTATAACTTTAAATTAAAGCAACAATTATATATTTCAGTTTAGAACCTGACATTTGAAAGCATGCCGAAGAAATCTTGGAGAACTCGAACCTGAAGAAGAAAAGGCACAACACGCACTGTTACTTTTCTTTAGTTTGGCAATGACACGTAAAGGAGTTACAAACATTAACCAAGTTGGGTGTTGTACCTCTTGCGCCGCTTGAGTATCTTTTATCATATTCATAACATTTGGAGCATCCATAACCTCCCTTAAGCTATGCCTGTCATTGCAAGAAGATAAAATGCGTACTTGTAAATTAAGATCGAAAATCATAGACAATAAACTGCAATGGTGCATTGATTCTGTAAGTCAGCAACAAGATTAAATAATAATGAGTAAATGAGCATCACAGGTACTGGATGTATGAACCGGTAAATCCCCAGCGACCCTTTAAAATACTAAAATTAAAAACATGATGTGTTCCTGGCACATTGATAAAAAGTTACACCTGTAGTCGGTAATCCCAACTCCCAAGTACTCAGTAATCCCAACTCCCAAGTACTCATTATTGAATATGAAACATTTAATGCAGACCACTCCAGCAACGAATAATGAACAGTCGGAAATGAAAATGATACAAGAACACGGGTAAATCAAGAACATTTACAGAACAAATATGGTAGTAATTTGGACACGTGACCATACTTGTAACCTGAGCTTGTGTGCACAAGAATAATCCGCGACTTGTTCTCAATAATAGTTCTCAGCTGTTTTCTTTCTGCTTCCAATAATAGGTGACGATGAAACTGATCCTGAAGCAGATAAGAATGCAGATTAGTATCAAACAAATTGTATTACGCTTTATATATAGTCAGTTCATAAAACCAGGTAAAGACTGATTCCACAAGTAACCAATTTAAGAAGAAATCTCTATCTGTAGTGCTAAAAATAGTCCACTAGTAAAAATAACGCTTGAAGGCGATTTGCAATTTCACACTAATGAGTTTCAAAAGCTCAAAGTCATATCACACCTTTGTGAAACCTGGACTTGCAATCACAGCACAGCGAACAACACTGAAATCAACGTGCTTCAAGAATGCCTATCGATATACAAAGCTGTATCATTAGATGCAAGCTATGTTTGACAGTGTGAGGAGCTTCCGAGTAAAACTCAACTTGAAATTACCTGTAACACGTTCTCAAAGAACTTATTCAAAGCCTATAAAAAACAGAAAGATATTAGTAATACAATAAGCACAGAAACTCTTTTAACATCAGTCTTGCCAGATAACTTGATGTCAGGAAAAACAAATTCTAAAAAAGAAAACACACCGACTCATAACCTGCAATCCCAGGTCCGTGCTTGCGAGGAATTGAAGTTTCTATTCGTGAACGAGTAATTGTCATACTGATAGATATAGTTGCAAGAACATTAGTCTCATAAGGTCATAATTTTTCAGGTGCATGATAAGTATAGGATAACACTGCATGTGCTTAATCTTGACTTTGGAGCTTTCTATAAGTGATATTTTCAAAACCACAATTTCATAAAGAAAGTCCAAAAATAAGTTAATCAGAAGATTTTAACCAATCTGTCAGGCAGTTTCCTAACACACATTTCCAGGATATAACCAAGATCCTAATGCAGAGAACTACCAGAAAAATGGGGGAGAGTAATGTGGCTAGGGTCCTAGGGATGGGCAATGGGTCTGCATGGATACTCCACCATCACCATCACTCATCACCATTCAAATGAATCATGTTGGAAATGATGTTAGGCACACCTTTTACCAATAAGGAGAATATGTGCTAATCCTTCTTGCATTAAAACCACAGCTAGATCAGCACTTGCACCGGGATCTGAAAATTGTAGAAACAAGACTACCACATAAATACAAGACCCTAAACATTAATGTCCATCCCTATAATAAGAGGGAGGAGGTTCCACTATGCATTGTATAATTGGTATTTAAGTAAATAACTGAGGCTTTCAGGTAGTAACATTCCTTTGTCACATTGGACTACCTCAGACTGGGAAGGACTAAAACCCTTGCATAGGCTTAAGCCATTGACGAAGACAGACACGAAATGAGACCATTTTAGTAATTGGCCGATATCACAAGAAAGAAAATTAGAGTATATACCGGAGGCTTGATGGAGTTCGTGCAAGGCCAATGAGTCCCAGACATCCTAAAACATATGACATAGTACGACACAAGTCAATGCATTGCATTACAGGTTTATATCACATGAAATTCAAAGAATCCAACAGAAAAAATAAATATGGATTGTTATAAACTTGTACAGATTAACGAAAATTAAACCTTCCTTAAGACAAAAGGTCGGTGCAGCTCAAGCTCCAAAGTGTGAAATGCTCCTATCTGCATTAAGAAGATGAGAGGCTTAGAGCAGAACTTAAAATTTGCCAATTGATCAGTACTAAATTCAATTTAAGACGACATTCACCTTTACATATTCATTCTCCAGGATATTCTTCCCACGTATACGCAAGACAGCTCCTACTTTGTCAAAGTCAGCAACCTAAAAGGAACGTAGGAAATAAGTACAGAACACCAAACAAAAAGCATAATTAGAGCTAATTTTTCTCCATACCTCCTCGACTTTGATTTCTAACTTCAGCTTCACGCGCTCTGCATCTCTTCCACCACCAGCAGCTTCTCTTAGAACTTTCCTATTACACAATGCATACGGTTGTCAGGAAAATTGCTACTGGATACATGTTGACCAATCAAACTGGTTCCCGAGCATCACTTAATTAAAAAAGAATTCGTATACCATCTCCGCATATAAGAAAAAATACACTCAGAATTATAGAATTCGACTCGCATTGATTGCAAAGTAAAATTTGTCCTTTCTTCCTACAATTTCCAAGACAATGTTACAAGTACAAATACACAAAAAATTTCACTCAAGCTTACTCCTAAGAAAAAAAAATTTGAGGCAAAAAAAAAATTAATGAAAGTATTTCAGAAACGAATCCAATGCATCTAACAATTAAATTCAAATTCCTGCTATTAAAATAAAAAAAAAAATTGAATTGAGCTGGTGTTGTAACAAGTAAATAAAAATTCGACCTGCAATTAATCAGTAAATCGAATGGCGAAAGGGAAAATAGTTTTACCTAACAGTGACAGCCATGACTGTATCTCCCGGAGCAATCAAATTATAAGCATACCACAAATCATCGGAATCTACCGGTATCATCTGCCTCACCCACCAATTCAAAATCACCGAAAATTCAAATCATAGTTACAGGTTTACACCAAATCCATAAAAAAATAATCACTGTATGAACAATAATGAATATGAAATAATCAAATCATAATTTACCTTAACGCTGCCGGGTCCGCCGGGAATATAGTCCTTCCGGACAATCTTCATGGTCGTGCTGTACCGGATTACTTCTCCGAACCAAATTCGAAGGAACAAAGTGTTGATTTTTAGGTGTCCACCGACGACGAGAGAAGGAAGACGAAGGACGGAAGGAGGAGCTTAAGAAGCTTTCGGTTTGAGTGGCGGCAGTGTTGCGCCGTGCACGCGCGAAATACTCGACACGAGTTTTTCCGAGGGTAGACTTGGCGGGCCAGGCCCCAAGTATTTTATAAGTAATGGACTCTTGGATCGTTTACCTTGGGCTTGGTGGTATCGTGCTAATGCTCCAGATAAGTCCGCTACGTATTGGCTGACTACAATATTTATATCTATGTAATATAATTACTAATTACTAATTACTATTTAACTGTCGAGATGAGATTGAAAGTATTATGGCCAAATTTGAAACGGAGTGAGATATACTTAACCAATGAAAAATTTAAAATACGTGGTGTCGTGTAATTGATCTTGAGATATATTTAACCAATGAAAATTTTTAAATACATGATGTCGTGTAATTGATCTTGGATTCCACGATAATTTTACGAGGGAGGAAGTAAGTCCTTCATTTCACTTGCCTCCAAAACTTTTAGTTTAGCTTAGGTTTGTTAACAGTTTTCTGCTCGCTCTGCACCGGATGAATGGTGCGTTGGGCATGCTGCAAGTGTCAAGGACCCAACAACGAAGGATCAAACAGACCGGGATTCCAGCTAAACAGAAACATAAAGCAACACTAACAACGTAACGTAGATGTAGCACTGGAAGTCAAACAAAATTATAAGGCCTTCGGTTAATCGCATTAGTTCACGAACAAAAGCAGATAATGGAAGATCAAAATTCCTCCAAAAGCTCTAAAGCATAATTTAAAGATGTACTTAATACAGTGTTCAAAAGACAAATCTAGGTTCATAAACTCCAAAATTATAATCAGAATACCACTCATTCTTCGAAAGAAACGACCTCCTCTACCTGGTTTATCACCTCTTCAACCTCAATAGCTTTAGCCTCATACTCCTCTTCCTCATCACTCACTTCTCCGTCCCTAAGATTTTTCCTCGCCTCTTTCTCTTCTTCATGCTTCTGCTTCCAGTGAGCCACCCATTTCTCCCATTCCTCCTTCAACATTCTTCTCTTCTCGCGATCCTGCTCGCTTAAGAAGATTGAAACATCCTGGTCCTCAGCCTCATACTTCTTGCTGTACTTCTTCAAGTTCTTTGCAATCTCCTCCTCTTTCTCAGGAGTCAGCAATGATGGTGGCCTTGGGCGCCATAAGAACTACAACAAAGGGCTTAGCAGTTAGAACATGACATCTATTACAACTAGAATTTATCTACTATCACAAAGGGCTAGTACTTCCAAATCTATCATCACAAACTTCATCATACACTACTACGACATTACAATGAGAAAAAAGAATTCGTAAAGTAAAATTATTTTAGACCCAATTTCTTCATTTCTTTCTGTTGTAAGAACCTTGCTATAATGGAGATGATTAAAGTTTTTTAAAGATTGAGTAACATGACAACAATAATGAGCATGCGAATAAGATTTAGTGCCTCCTCTATAATGGCGTTACCTGAAAGAAATGATCCTTTAGTGTCCGATAAAGTAATTTGCCATTGAATGTCCAGATGTTGAAGCCGTTCTCCATCTCATGGACTGAGGTCACTGCAGTAGCTACGTATCTGAAAGACAAAATTAGCATGTCAAAAATCAAGACATAAGTAAGAAGCCAACTGAATAGTAAGAGATCCAAAATTATACCTTCCAGTCGGATCCCATTCAATATCTGTCGCCATGAAATGTTCAGCAGTGGCCATGGTTTCCAGCTCATCGACATTGTAAAACTCTAGCTGCCCATTAAAACCTTTCAATCCCGCCAAAATGATGAAGCGCCCGGTAGGTGACCAGTAGAGAGCATTTGCCTGCTTTCCTTTGAGAGTAGTGAGCTTCGAAACACGGCCAGTATTGTGAGCACTTCGCATGGAGTAGAAACTTATGTCGGGCCTTGGGTTGTTATTCGCGTTCGTGTTATCACAATGAATTACCGCGAACCTGTGGCCCTTAGGCTCCCAAGCGAATGCAATAATTTTGTCGTTTTTATTCTCCAATTCCAAAACTTCAATAGGAATGTCCCGCTCCTTGATTCTGAAAAGCTCAAATCCAGTGTATGTGCTTTTCTTTGTTTTGGTGTAGCGATCAACTTTAACAGCTAGATACTCCCCGTTGCTCTGCCAGTACATTTTGCAATCGCTGACACTGAAAAGATTCTTCTGCCTCAACTCCTCCTTAGCGGGGATTTGAACAAGACTCACCTATTTGTATCAGTGAAGCATTGGTTTAACTACCCTGAAGTGAAATACAGAAAAGGGAAAAAAGAAAAGACCAGATCTAGGAAAACAGACAGTAAAATGAAACAAGATACGCACCCTCGCAGGCTGGTTGCCACCACCCAGTTCGGGAACAAATAGCGCAAGGATCGGATCAGTTGGTGACCAACTGAAGTCCATAACGTTTTCCACCTTCATTGACTTTTTGTCTACAAGGGAAAATGTCTCCGTTTCATATACAGAGATGACGTTTTTTCCCATTCTGGCAAAGTACTTGTCGTCTTTTCCCCCGGCCCATCTGCAAATTTAAGAGAAAATGTGAAGGCATTAGAATACTGAGCAACACAAACTCTCAAATTCACATTTGCGTCATATAAACTTACTTGAAAACAGGCCAAGACACCCCAGCAACACCTCCAGCTCCTCCAGTAGCAAAATCATCTGGGCTTCCTTTAAAATCTCTCATTACTTTTCCGGTCCTCACATCAAAAATGTTTATCACTACCCTCTACAAAATAACTTCACATTAGAAACAGAAACAAGGCAAAAGAAAAATCATAAAAAGTACTGAATCTCACTCACATTTGCATCACGAGGATTGCTTGGTTCATGGCTGCTGTAAGTCACCAAGTATTTCTCACCAGGTGAGAAATCAATCAGTCGAACCTGCAGTTGACAGTTAGAGGTAAGTACCCAAAAAAATAAATACAAATACTAATTAAAATTGTAACCCAAAACCAAAAACAACCTGGGAATGAGCATAACGCATCAGACGATTGAACGTAGAGGCACCTCCCCAGACTGCAACACCCAGTCTGTGAACAGTGGCCAGGTAAGTCCCTAGAGGGGACCACTGCACGAAGCTCTCAGTCCAGAACTGTAACAGACAATACATATGATTATTCGTGATTGAAATATTCAATATAAGAGAAGTGACTGTTTAGAATAAAAAATTAACAATGTGTAAAGGGAAATACACATCCACTTACAGTGCGTTTGTAGAACGGTTCTGGCTTCAGGTGCCTTGCATCATTCCATAGCACTTCAGTGTCCGCACCATAACGAATGACCATTTGGTCCCTGGCCTTTTCATCAGTCAGCCACTGTTGAAGGTTTTCCTGTAATGATATCCAAGAAGATAATATAATATAATAAATACTAGAGCTTATTTTCAATGCATGATGGCCAAAAAGTGATTGATTAGAGCATAATTACCCCTGGAGTATACGGTTTACTTTCAGGAGGGGCCCATTGATCTGGAACTTTCATGAACCGATCAAAGTCTTCAAACATGTTGACAACAAAAATATGTGATCGATCCAGCTTGTATCCATGAGTCCTCTCTTTGGCAAGCTCAGCTTCCTACAATTACAACAAAGCAAGTTCACACATCAATCATTCACTCCTATCAATCGGCCAAATTTCGTTTGAAACACAAAAGACGCACAAATTGTCATTTCTAAGAGAAAAGATACCTGAGGAGTATTAAACTCAAGGAAGCAATAACCCAAGGTTTTATTGGTTTCGGGGTCAAGAGGCATCCAAAAGCCGTCGTCTTTGATCACACCAATCTGACTGTAGATTTTACGAATAACGTTTTCGAGTTTCTCAAACTTTTCCAAAGGAACAACAGGGAGGTTATCAACAACAATTATGTTGCCAAACCCTGCGTCCAACTCCGAATTGTCCACTTTGTATATATCCTCATCGTCACTACGCAACCATAAATATAAATCAATCAACTAATTCAAATAAACATTCAAATCGTGATGCTACAGAGCAAAAACACAAAATTTATGAATTCCAAACAGCGAAATCTTGCTATCAAATTCGTGGAAACGATAGGGTTCCGGAAAAAACGAATCATGCTATCAAATCTCTGGAAAGTTAGGGATTGGTTCGGAGCTAGGGTTACCTGATAATGCCAAAGTCTTCGCCGGAAGGGAGGCGGATAGAATCGAGGTCGAGCTGCGAGAGGTCGATTCCGATTCTGGCCGCCGTCGCTTCTATGTCGTTGTACGCCATGACGTCCGCCATGTTTGTGTCGGAGAAGCCGGAGATTCGAGAGGGCTCGCGCAGCAGTGCAACGGAGGTGGAGAGTTTGCTTTTTAGGGTTTTGTTGCGACTCTGTGCGTAAGCTATTGATTGGGTTGCGGATGCGTTTGCCTTTGCTCAGTTGGTTCCTACGAAATAAAACGAAAGTATAAATATTAATGTTTATTTTCAAGCCCAACAAATTAAGGCCACGACTATCATGGGCCTACAAATTGTCTCCAAAACTGTGCAGCCAGAGCCCAGTAAATACTAGCCACGTGCGCGAGTCTAAAGACAAAAATGGATGCCGGTCGAACGTGTTTTAGAATTGAGTAATGTTAGGAAGATTAAATTTTTTAAATCAAATTGTAAATATTATCAATAAGAAATAAGCACGTTAATCGATACTTAATTAATGATCCAATCATCTACAACCACATCATTTAGTTTGCAAATTTTATTTAAAAAATTTGGTCTACCTAACATTACTCTTCAATATCAAGCTCTAAAAAAACAAATTTTTGTTGGGAATTATGTATGATAAAAAAAAAATTTTGCTTATTTATATTCTTTATTCTACCGGATTTTGGAAATTACTTAATATTGCATCCCTAGTCATAGTATATTGTGAAGGATTTGTTTGAAATGTCTTTTGAAAACTAACAAAACGAAAACGGTTCTCGTTGTAAAAGCATTTTTGGATTCATGAAAAGGTTTCTCAGTATCGGCTTGTTTCTAGTAGGAAAAACTTTTTAAGTGTTTTAGGTCGTGGAAGGGTGTTTATGAAGTGATTGTAAGTCCTTTTTCGAAAAGCAGTTAAATTTTTTTAAAGATTTATACATATTCATAATAAAAATGTTATATAATAAGTGTTTTTTACATAAACAATTCGCAAAGCGTAAACAAAATTAAGAGCATTCAAGGACTAAATAGTTTTAGAAATTCAAGTGACATTGATTCATCGTGATTTTTCCTTGAATTTTCAGAGAGGGTCTAGATCGTCCAGCGAAATTCATGAATGAAACAAAATCGAAAACTGCATAAGATAAGAAAATGAAGAAAGAAGCTGAAGATGTAAACTCACTTGGTCTACTTGTATTTTGTTCTTTCACGTCTAACGCCCGGAGATAAGCAGCATCAATATTGGATGCGATTTCGTGAAAGATTAGAATATTGTCACCACTGTTTGTTATCAAGGAAGACAGATTAGTCTAGTCTTATATGTATCAAGGAAGATAGATTAGTATGTCATTAATATATGGTCTTATCCATATGATGTCGTTGTTTTGTATTAAATTTGAACTTGAAGTATACATTATATGGAAGAAAACTGTTAGGGAGACTTTCTCAACAGTCAGATTCTTTGTCAGCTCATGTGTTCGCATAATATTTTATAATGTTAAACTATCAGCCGTGTTTAAAATTTCTTCAATACAGTCGATAATTCGATGGAAGTATTTCTAAAAAATCAGATAAAGATATAGAAATGGGGTCTAGTCTAAACTAGGGGTGGGTTTGGTTCCGTTCAGTTCGGTTTTTTGCGAAAACCGGAAACCGAACTGAAATTACTGTTCGGTTCGGTTCGGTTTTCTATCGGTTTGTGTTCGGTTCGATTTGTATTCGGTTCGGTTTTTTTTTTTTTTTTTTTTTTTGCTTTTTTCCCCAAGTAGCTTAAAAAAAGTATATGAAAACAACTTGCATCCATTTTGTAATAAGTCCTATTTCAACATAATCGTCAAGACTCAAAATAAGCATTCCAAATTTCTAATATAATCATAGTCTCAACTCAAAGACAATGAAAATAAACATACAATTCAAAGTTTAATTATAATCAAGTGTTCCAAAGTCCAAAGTTAAATAAACATCAAAGTTTAAATCTTCCAAAAGTCCAAACTTAAAATAAACATCAAAGTTCAAGTATTCCACATCTAAAAGACTAAAATAAACATTTCAAATTTCAACTTTCAAGTGCCCCACAATGAGAGTGATCCACGTACTTTTTCAACGACAATTTGCTTGCTAACGCTTGGGTGGCCTAGGGGGCAACATATCACCTTTTTTTGAACTTACACTTGCCATTTCTACATAGAAATAATAAAAGAAAAGATACTAATTAAAATGTTATTTAAAATAATCTAACAAAATCAAATGCAATAAAGGTTTAAGGGTTTTGTTAAAAAGATTAAAAAAATTAAAAATAACCTCACAAATCCTGGAGGCATGAGGGTTCGAACCCATGCCTTCAGCTTGTAAAGTTTCATTGAAACCAACTTGGCAACAAGTTCTGTTTTGTTATGATTGTATGATTAAACTATTTATAAATATTCAAAAAAATTATATATATATATATATCGGTTCGGTTCGGTTTCCGAGCCTCAAAAACCGAAACCGAACTGGTCAGATTCGGTTCGGTTCGGTTTGACAATTTCGGTTCGGTTTTTTTGTGGTTCGCTTTTTTTCGGCCTCGGTCCGGTTCGGTTGTCGGTTTTTTTCGGTTTTCGGTTTTTTTAACCCACCCCTAGTCTAAACTTCAACTCTTTATCGAAGCAACAAAGTTTAGGCTAAAATTAACATATCGTCGATATTTCTTACACATATGTTAAATATCAAAAAAATTCTTATATTTCGTCCGAACCAATATTTGACAATCCCTAAAATTTCAATTAAAATTTCTATGATTATCATCAAAAGTAACCGATATCAATATTTGATATATTCATCTATATTACATATCAATAGCTTCACCAAAATTGATATTTTGACTATAAGTCTCATTTTAACAGAGTTTTCTTATATTGAAGGGGCTTGACTAGTTTTTGGATTTTTTTTGCCTGGTCAGAGGCCTTGGTGCAGGTGGTGTTGTCATGTGCGGCCACGTTGAGGACAATTATATGATCATATCCGTCTGCATGTCGCATGCAGATTTTTCTCAAGTTCTCAACGCGTGTCATCCGCCGTCTGCTTTTAAACCCTCCCTCTCCTACGAGTCGTTTTTATTAGGGTTCTTGTTATTTATATGCTTTCACCTCAGCCGAAGAGCTTTTTCTGCTGGTAATTATAAATCTCCAATAGTTATTAATTTACTTAGCTAATTAGTTCATACTTGTTCTAAATTCCACTAGCTGGATTTACCATGAAATCAACTCAAGCTAAGTAGCTGCTCGCACTGATCGATCAGGTAGTTAACTTTTGATATTTTCATCATCTTTTTCGAGCATCATCGCATCTTTTAATTTTTTGATCAGTCGAAAGTTGAATAAGAAAAATCAATGATTAATATTGGAATTATTTTATCATGTTTGTTAATTTCGATCATTGTTTTTAATTTAGTTTTAATAATTTTTGGACCTTGCTTGCTGAATGATGCCTTTCAATTGTTGGAAAATTTTGAATTTTGAACTCGTGTCGTTTTTTTTTTATCAATCAATTTCAAGTGTAACAGGTAATTGATGTATCTCTATTTATAAATTCCCTCTAAATTCTTAAGTTTATTTCCCTCATCGAAATCCAAAATTCAAATAATTGACTGGTAATAATATGGTTGCTATATGCATCCATAGGCCATGGAAGATCCAAGTGGGGAGTCCGAGCTAGAAGAAGACTCCCCTGAAGCAAACTGTGGTAAGGTGAGATGGATCTTGAACAAGGGATGGGGACTTGGGAAGAAAGTTCTGGTGACTGGTATGGTAATTTCTTCTGCCCCAATTGTCTTCCGCCGCTTGTGGTTATTTCCACAATTGGGCTTGCCCTTTCTGTTCCATCAGGCGTTGTCTTGGCAAGTTATGCTTGCAGTGAGAAGATCATGAGCAAGTTACTACCTTATAGTGAGCCTCCTCCTTTGTTTGAAAATAATGTAACATTAATGTCGAATAACGAAGAATTGGAGCTTGATGAGGAATGGGAACGGGGTACGTGGGTAGGAGCAAAGACTGATATCGAAAAGGAAGAAGGATGGGATTGGAGGGATCGACTCGAAGGCCACGAGATGAGAGTTGAATTTGTAGATGAGGAAACCGGTGACATTATTGAGGAGGATGCACAAGGAAATGTAACTGAAGATGTGAATGAAATTGAATTTGTAGAAGAAAATGGATATGAGGAGGACGTAGATGATTCTACGGATGAGGAGGAAGAGCTAATATTGGATAGTATTTATGAGGTGAAAATTAAAGGATTGAGTGAGGATTTTAAGGATGATTCCGTACTAGATGAGAATCAAGTCGACGAGGTCTGTGGATTAGTGTTCAATGTAGTTGAGGGTGATGTGCAAATGGGAGTAATACCCATTGGTCTACCGTAGCAATCAAAGAAAGCGAGGGTCAAGAAAGAGTAAATGATATGGTAGAAGAGGCGGAGTTGGTGGAAGAGACGAGGGGCTTGCTAGAAAAAATTTGGGATGAAGGCAACACTGATAATGCAATGGAGATGGACAAGCAGTATGTGGCAGAAAATGAAGGAGGTGGGGAGCTAATCAATCAAAAAATTGGTTCAAATGGATTGAGATACCAGTTGAAGCTAGAATTGCTGATATTGGATCGCAAGAATCAACTAATACCAGGGAAGGTGGAGTTGCGGACATTCCAGATGAGTGTGAAGGTATGCAAGGATTCCAAGAAATGAGATTTGCAAACAATGCAAAGACCGTTTATGAGGATGTCAAACCGGTTAGAGATATTGGGAGTGTTTCGGAAAGCAAGAATGCGGAGAATGATTTAGCGGCCGAGAAGCCAATAGTGGAAACCAAGAATGTTAATGACGTTTTAGTGGAAGAAAAATCAAGGGCAAAAACAAGGAATCTGAAGCCTTTGGCGAGCAGCTTCACAGAAGACAAGCAAAAGCTTGTGATAAACAAAGAGGAAATAGTACAAGGAAGGAGAACCGATGATACAATCAATGAATTAGAGTTTCAGCTGATTAGAGAGAAGGAAATTGTGGTTTCAAATGCAGATGCAAGAGAGATTGCTGATGAAAGCGGGCTTCATTTGTTTGATGAGAAGAATGAACTGGTCAGCAAGACTGGCATGCTTCTTATGGAATTTCTGAAGGTAAAGTTTTTAAACAAATCCTCATAGTAATTTCATGTTTTGGGGTTTCTTTCCTTTACAAATAAGGGAAAGTAGCTACGATAAACATATTTAGACAATTGGTTTAGAGATATGATCATTTTTCAGTAACAACATATCATATTTCGGGTACATAACGATGACATAACATAACACAATACAACAATGATATAATGAAGCATAATAAACAGTGATCATTTTTGTACTTAAATGTCAAAATATGTATATTGCAACTAATTTGCCTTTTTGTTCCCTAATCCACAAATTCTAATGCTGACTCAATCTTTAGAATGTGCAGGTCATGTGGGTGATGAAGGTGCAGATTATGCAGAGCTTCCCGTTTCAAACATTGCACGTGAATCTACAAATTCTGGAATATCATCCAGAAATGATGTTACAATGCCTTCAAATGGGGTTAGAGCTTAATTTATGTCTTTCGAAGATTAACTAATTTCATATGTACTAGCTCATAAATTTCTGGGGGAAACAATCTTTACATCGATTTATTCTCCATGTAATGTTCATGGTGAGTCTATTTGCATGCTTGGGCACGTATTGTTTGTAGGTTGACGCTACTCAATTACATTGTTACGTTACAAGTTTTACCTAGAATGCCAGAAATTATACGACACTGTTTGCAAAACGACATAAGTAAATTGACATTTAACAGGATAAAAAAGAAAGTGTACACCAAACGCTATGAAAATAAGAGAATCTATATGTTTCGCAGATTATTGAATTGTTTGCAATTATTTATACTGGATATCACTGCTTTACAGATATTGTACCTATCGAAGAAGTGTATTTGTACTTCAAATTGTTTCTATAATGTTGCGTCACGATGGCTGAGTTAATTGATTTATTGCATCTGTAATCTAATGTGACTGAAAGCTGAGTTAATTGACTTGCATCTGCAGGTACTGTATGATGAGACGAAAATATGGGTGAAGATCGACGCTATATGAAGTATAGTCGGATACAAGGGCACACCCCATGCAACATGCATAGAGGAACTAAAGGCTCTTTACCTCTTCACAGGTGTGGAACCCCCTACAGTATCATTTAGTAACCCTCCTGATCTCGCACAGGTTAATCACAAACTTCGCTTTCTCATGTCCATAATCGGAGTTAAATTGGACTCGTGAATTGCTGGCAGCTTGTACTTGTAGATTTTTTGTTGTTTGTTTCCGGTTTGATGTCACACTAAGAGCATTAATAGAGTTAGATTGTGCGTATTGGTTTAGCATTTGTTAGCTGCAGATACCAGAAAACGTGTTGATCCAAAGTTTGTGATCCCCGGAAGCTAGAAACTGTTGAGGTTTCTCATCCTCTGCCATTTCATCGGCAAGCGTCCCGTAGTTGTAAGCTATCTGTAAGAGTTGTATATTTGGCTCTACTTGTGCAAATTTATGTTGCTCTCTAATAGATATGGAATCCACATGTTTTAATGAGTCATATATTAGAGAGGTGAAACAACTGTAGTATAAAAAAATTTGGTAAGTTTGGTAAGTTTAGCATTGCTCAACTAAACATAACAAAATGGACATTGCTCGGCTTTTTTCATTAGTATAAAAAATTTGGTAAGTGTAACATTGTTTAGCTAAACATAACAAAATGAACACTACTCGACTCTTTCTATTTTTCATATAAGAAGTCGTTCCTCCTTCTTAACAGTTTTAAATGCCTACATGGACAATGTTGTTTAGGAATTGTTCGTTTGAGAGTGATTTTTGACTCTCTTATTTTTGCATATTGAACTTCCCTTTTCCTTTCGTTCTTGGATTGGATGTAACATTAAACTTGGAAAATATAATTAAGCAGAAGAGGTTAGAAGAACAAAAGGAAGTACGAAAATTAATTACCAAAAGGAAGTAACAAAATTGCTTTTCTTTTTAGAGTTATAAGAGCCTAAATCTAAAGGTCCTTTATTACAAGTGGATACATTAGCTCTGTAAAAAATAAACATAAGGTACATTATTTCTGTTAAAATTAATTAATATGCACTTTATTTCTTGTAAGAGTAAACTATTAGATACATTGTTTATTGTAAAAATCAAACAATAGTTACATAATTAACCGTGTTGTTTTCTCCCTCAAAGAGTTGATCATTTATCTTATCAAGTATCAAATTGAACTCAGCAATTGAAATCACCTATGAAACTCAAATGTCGCACCGTAAAAATCTAGTTTCTACAAAATTGGAATTATACTCAATTTTCTTGACAAAAATACTTACGTTAAGTAGAACTTCATTGGTTTTGCAACCAATAAATATATAGTGGGAGTTGACAAAAAATCGTTGCATAAAAAAAAAAAAATTTATTAAGAAGGGGAGGGAGGGAAGGAATCTAAATCATTACCAAATTTTTAAAAAGGAAAGATTTTCAAAGACGCATAGATAAAACGCAACATTATAAATCCGTTCTTATTTACTAAGATATTAGGCTAAACGGCTCGTTCGATAAGTGTTTTTAAACCACTACGAGTGATTTTAAGGAAATATTTTTAAAACCAATTTTTTGTAAAATTACAAGTTAATCATGGAAAAACACTTGAAGTGTTTCCAGTAAGAAGCACTAGAGGAATTGCTTCAAATGTGTGTAGAACCCAAAAATATTTTTTCTGAAAATACTTGCAATGGTTTAAAAGTACTGACCATCTCCAAATGAGATGTAAAAAATATCACGTAGACATATAACGGAACAAATAATATATCATTTACTTCAATCGAGATGTCAAATATGACATGAAAAAGAAGGCTAAGCTAACATGAATAAAGATATGTCAAATTTGAAGCTGCCTTTAAATTTGATTTTTTCTATTTTCAAAGACATTTCACCTGTCTTACCTTAAATGTTAGCGTATTTAAGTATTCTTTTATTATTTTTAAACCAATAACAACCTAACTTTTATTATTTTTGTTTAAAAAAAAAACATAAATGAAGCAATAAATTTTAACAATATGACAATATATCAAACTGACAAATCAGCCATCAAATTTAAATTTTATATTTTGTGAAGATGCTCTTATTAAACGGCGAAAATAAAACTTCATCTAGAATATCCAAAGCTTAAATTAAATGTGTCGGTTACTCGAGCGAACACAAGTGACGAGCACACACAAAATCGCAGGTGGCCATGAGAGACGGAGATAGCCACAGTCCGAAATCTCGAAATCTAAGAAGTCCTCTTCCTTCTCTCCATCTTCCCTGCAGTCTCTGCAATCCCGGACAAATCACGTTGGACCATTTCTTCTCTGCTATTAATTTTCTAGAGAGAGAAAAAGATATAGAGAGAGTGTGTGATTTCCAATTTTCTATGCACAAATATGTTCATACGAATGAGTGAATGAGAACTCCGCCTTCTCTGCTGTCTCTCACCATTGACTCAGCTCTCCTCAACCTCCCCAGCATATCCGATCTCTCTCCTCTCCCTGACCACATCCTCCTCGATCTCTTTCAGGTACTCTCTCTCTTCCTCTATTTCTTCCTTCATCTTTTCAGCTTTACATGACCAATTGGTAATTTGGTCTTCTTGTTCTTGATTTTACCGCGAAAGTAACTTCCTTTGGGGTCTCAAATGGATTGCTTTTTGTTTTTGGGGACATGGGTGTAAACACGAATTTTTCCTGAAACCAGAGAGACAAGAATACGTGTACAAAATATATATTTTGTATTAATGATTTTGGGGTTACAATCTCTTTGTAATTTGGTCCTCTGATTCTATCTTCGAAGGGTGTACGTTTGTGGATGAATTGTTGATCCAAAGGGCCGTCGGGGCTTGATCTAAGGATGAACAGTTGATGAATGATGAACACTTTCTTCAAGGGGCCGTCGGGGCTTGATCTTGAGTTGGTGGGAGTTCTTCAAGGGCCGTTGGGGCTTAATCTTGAAGGAGGATGGATGATGAACGATGAACGGATGTGTGGATTTGTTGAACACTTTCCTCAAGGGCCGTCGGGGCTTGATCTTGAAGGATGAACGGATGATGAATGAATCTTCAAGGGCCGTTGGGGCTTGATCTTGAAGGTTGATGGATGATGAACGATGAACGGATGTGTGGATTTGTTGATCCAAAGGGGCCGTTGGGGCTTGATCTTAGGATGAACGGATCTTCAAGGGCTTCTGGGCTTAATCTTGAAGGATGAACGGATGATGAATGAATCTTCAAGGGCCGTTGGGGCTTGATCTTGAAGGTTGATGGATGATGAACGATGAACGGATGTGTGGATTTGTTGATCCAAAGGGGCCGTTGGGGCTTGATCTTAGGATGAACGGATCTTCAAGGGCTTCTGGGCTTAATCTTGAAGGATGAACGGATGTGTGGATGATGAACACTTTCCTCAAGGGCCGTCGGGGCTTGATCTTGAGTTGGTGGAAGTTCTTCAAGGGCCGTCGGGGCTTGATCTTGAAGGTGGATTTTACGAAGAACGAAGATTGCTTTCTTGATCCTTCGGGATTTGCTTGAGAGCTTTAGAGTTTCAAGGCTTCTTTCTTTCTTCCTTCCTTCTTTTCTTCTTTTCTTTTCTCCTTCTCCTTCCTTCTTTTTTTTTTTTCTCCCTTCTCCTTCCTTTCTTCTCCCTCTTCTCCCCAAATGAATGCCTTTGGCCTCCTATTTATAGAATTCCAAAACTTGATTTTTGGATTTAAATAATCAGATGAAATAAATCATTTCTGCCAGGTATTGACACGTGTCATATTTGATGACTTTTCCAATTTATTTCGATTTTTCGTTGAGGCACACGCTACATGTAAAATTTATGTGACACGTGAACATTGAAATTTTAATTATTGGTCAACATTCATTTCACCGAAATTTTGATGTCTACAAATGCCCCCACTTCAAGGCGCGTCGTAGACATGTGCTTGTCACGTGTGGAAGATGCGTTTTGAAGTCCCTTAATGTAGATGTCAACCCAAGGGCCGTTGGGGCTTGATCTTGAGTTGGTCTGAAAATTTCTTCAAGGGCCATCGAGGCTTGATCTTGAGCTTGACTGGAAGATTTTCTGGTTTCCTCCAATCGTTGATTTTCCACAGGCTTAATCTTGAACTGGGCTGGAGGATTCTTTTGGTCTCCTCCGAAGGTCTGAACTTACTCCTTTTATCTGGAGTTGAATTTGATTCAAGGGTGGTGAACACTTGATTTTGAATCGGACTTGTGATTTCTTCAAGGGCCATCGAGGCTTGATCTTGAACTGGGCTGGAGGATTCTTTTGGTCTCCCCCTACCGTTGATTTTCCTTTGTGCTACTCTTGAATTGGGTAGCAGGATTCAGACACATGGCAGGCAAGCAGGAGGTGGAAGTGATGACCTGTTTCTTTGTTCAATCTTTCCCCAATTCGTATTGAAGAGGGTAGATCGGAAGACTGACTCCAAGTGCCGTCTGATTGCTCTTTTCACTTTGTCATGCGAGTAATAACAAGGACAAAGGAAAGGACATGGAGAAAGCATGATATAAGATACCTTTGCTTTTGAAGAAGCAGCGAATGAATCAGCACATATATTTGTTGTGCTTGTCTCCACATGCTTTGATGTATCATTTTCATTTGTCTTACTTGCTCCCTTTGCAGAAGTGGTATTTCCTTATGCAGGTTTGGCATCTTCTCGTGTAGTATTTGTCCTCTGATGCAGGAATGGAATGCAACCTTTGCATTTAAATGGTGCTTCAAAACATTACTTCTCCGCGACGATGAGTACTCGAGAGCAATGCAAGGTAAGCAACCAGGCAAAGGTTCCAGGCAATCAGTTCCAGGTCGGAAGTTTGATTTCAGGTTCCGACTGATAACTCTATTTCCCCTTCTCCTGCATGTAAGAGCAAGGACAAAGAAAAGGACAGGGAAAAAGCATGATATGAGATACCTTTGCTTTCGCCCTTGATGATATGAGATACTTTTGCTTTTGAAGAAGCGGTGAATGAATCAGCACATGCTTCCATCTACCGTTTCCTCCTGGGTCATTTGTACTCCAGGCATCTGGTATCATCTTTGGGGAAGAGGAAAAAATTGAGTATTTTGAGATGTTTTGCTGGGAGTGTACTCTCGGAGGTGAGGAAGAGTTGGACATTTTTTTTTTTCCGCAGGTCTGCCTTGCCATAAAAGATGAAGGTCGACATATATAGGGATTTTCCCAATAGCCAGTGGTGGTACTGTTCTTTTACCCTTGTCGACAAACGTTTTGATCCCGCAAATTCGGCTTTTTGAAATAGTGACGACTCTTCGATCTTTGAATACGCCTCTTTGATTTCTGAACGACGCCTCTTCGATTTCTGAACGAGCGTCTCTTTTGACAAAGTGGCACGCGTTTTCTGAAAAGCAGAGAAAGCGTCGCCGAACTTTGCGCTTGTCAGCTAAAGATGTGTAGCTGTGATGATGACCTCCACGTGATCTTTTGACAAAGTGGCACCCGTGCTCTGAAAAGCCGCGAAAGCGTCGCCAGCCTCCACGTGTTTTCAACTTTGTCGGAGATCTTTTGACAAAGTTGAACGCGTTTTCTGGAAAGCCGAGAAAGCGTCGCCTAACTTACGCCGAAAAATCCAGCTTTTGAGATTTGCAGAGCGGTGTCTCTTCACTTTTGAACAAGCGGCCCTTCGATTTCTGAGCAAGCGCCTCTTCGTTTTTATAGAGGTATTGATCACCTCTAACATGCACACTTCGAAGGTTGCTCATTCCTGAAAATCATCTCCGGCCTTTTGAGTTTTAACTTCATCCACCCATCTCTTTTAACACCTTTGAAAAATGGCTAACCCATCGAACCTTAGCTTAGAATTGAGTCTTAGCAGTGATCCGGTTGCGCCGCTTCAAGGTAATGTATGGTGTCCTTCTTTCTTATCTTCTAACGGTCCTCTTACAGGTGAAGACTCCGTGATGCAGGACGCCACAACAGCTACAATAGTAGCTAGGAACCTCCTTACTCCAAAAGATAGTAGGCTGCTGTCGGGACGGTCCGATGAGTTGGCCGTTCAAGAGTCCCTCGCTCTTAGTGTTCAGTGTGCGGGCTCTGTGTCCAACATGGGCCAACGCCTGCTTGCTCGGTCCCGTCAGGTGGAATCATTGATGGCAGAGGTGGAAGATCTTAAGCAGGAGATTAAACAGCTTAAGTACGAGAATAGAAGTTTGCATGTGCTTGCAAATAACTATTCGTCGGGCATGAAGAGGAAGCTTGATGAAATGCAAGAATCTCAAGGTCGCATTCAAAGTGACCGTCAAAGGCTTGCGTCTTTCTTCCAGAGGCACATTTTTCCGGCGTCATCAAGCGTTCCACCAAGTATTGGGGCCTCGAATGATCTATCTTCGGTGCCTCCGGCTCTTGGAGTTTGGCCAAGTAGTGGGGCTTCACGTACACATCCTTTGTGAAAGCTTCAACCCTTTTTTTTTTTTTTTTTTTTTTTTTTTTTTTTTTTTTTTTTTTTTGTACACAATTGTAATTTCTCGAAAATCAATGAACATGCTTTGTTTTTTTTTTTTTTTTTTTTTTTTTTTTTTTTTTTTTTTTTTTTTTTTTTTTTTTTTGTTTTTTTGTACACAATTGTAATTTCTCGAAAATCAATGAACATGCTTTGTTTTATTTAGTGTATTGTGCTAAATACAGAGAAAACATGTACAACACCGTCCATCATCATTTTTTATTCTTTCCTTTGCTTTCGGTGGCGCTGATCCACCATTTATATATATATATATATATATATATATATATATTTCAGATGGTGCCAGAAGCATCATCATTGTTTTTTTTTTTTTTTTTTTTTTTTTTTTTTCTTTCTTTTTATTATATATACATTTTTTTCACATGGTTCCAGAAACATCATGATTGCTATTTTTTTTTTTTTTTTTTTTTTTGAAAGATGCTTCCCAGCATCATGATTACCATTTTTTTTTTATTATTATTTTTTTTCTTTATATGGCCATCTGCAAGGCTGAGTTCGTGGGTGAAAACCCAGGCGAGTCCGAGAGAAGACGGAGGAGATCTTTGGGTGTGAGTTGACAAACTTTGATTTTGTTGATCTCATTCAAAGGCAGCAGCAGAAGCAAGCAGACGGATGAGATCTTTGAATGTGAGTTGACAAACTTTGATTTTGTTGATCTCATTCAAAGGCAGCAGCCATGGTGGAGGTGCAGAAGCAGCCAGATCTTGAGGCAGAGTGTAAGGCGTCGAGTTTGAAGACCGGCTAGTCGTTTGACAGCGGTCAATGAAACTTCTTCGCCGATTTTGATCATGGTGGCCAGGGTGACGAGCTCGAGGTTTGTTGGCAGCATGAGGAGGTTAATGATCAAAGAGAGAAGGCCACGCTACTCATCCTTAGAGAGAGACAAACTGCCCATACTGCAACATGAAGATCTTACTGGGCTAGATGGGCAGAATGGAGAGCATGGACGAAGAGCTCAACGAAGACGGAGACGGTTGGGGGCTTGGTGGATTTGTCGCTGCGTTTTGGGTGAGATCTCAGTTGTGTTTTTTTTTTTTTTTTTTTTTTTTTTTTTTTTTTTTGTAGTGCTGCAAATGTCTCCATTAGTGGAGATGAAGAAGGAACACTCCGCGGGAGGAGTTGACATCGGCAAAGACGGCAAGGATGGTTGCTGCTGCAATCGGTGGAGGCGTTGACGGGCAGCGAACAAGCTACTGTTGGAGTTTGAGCTCCATTTGCTCCTCCACCACTGAAGCCTCTCTGCGTTCTCTGCTTATTCACCCCAATGGCAGCTATCACCGCAGTATGCGTCCATCTCCTACCTTTCAAGCACATCCGTTGCGGTAGAGACGGCAAGGATGAAATCGAGGGGAATTTCTCAAGACACCCAACTCCCCCTGCCATTTCTCTTTCCTCTTTAACCATGTCCGTCGTCTTCTCCGAGCTTCTTCAACACTTCCTCCGTGACCGTGACCACCGGGAGATTGGCCACCACCTGTTTGCTCGCAGGCGGCATCATCATCCACTGCTGCGGATCCGACGGAACCTGTTGTGGGTGCACTCCTCCTGATGGTTGTTGCATCATGGTGAAGATAAAGGCGGGTGTTTGGGTACGGGGATAAGGATGTCCTCGTGTTGGAGGAGGAGGCGAGGTGGAAGACAATGGAAGCAGCCGCCATGGCGGCGGCGGTTTCTCCGGTCGAGATCGGACCCGGGATTGCTGGTGGCAGTGAAGGGTCGAGAGAGAAGGCAGGCGACGGGGAAGCTGGCCTGGTGGGTGCGGGCGCAGCTGAGAGAGCTCAGAGGAGTTTGTCTGGTAAAATGGAAGGGTAGCCAGAAGGAGTGGGAGTGAAGGAGAAGAGGAAGAAGACAGAAGTGGTAGGATTCTCCGGCGAGCTTAACCGGAAAAAGTGGTGTTTTGTGGTGGAGGTTGGGAATCATTAAAGTAGGCAGGGACTGTGACAACAGCGTTCTTGATGGTGCTGCCAAGGTAGGCCTCGGCGATCTCACGCATCTTGATGAGAACCATAGACGAGATTTCCTCGGCGGCAAAGAGCTTGTCTTCTCCCTTGTAGGAGACTCCGATCATGGGCTTGTCACCAGGGCCGGAGGTAACCTTGAACGGCCACAACTTCATGTCGCTCTGGACAGAGGCATCAGAAATTCTACGACCAATCAACCTCTTAGCATCGAAGACGGCGTTGATGGGGTTCATGGCGACCTGATTCTTAGCGGCATCTCCGATCAACCGCTCGGTATCAGTGAAAGCAACGTGCGACGGGGTGGTTCTGTTACCCTGGTCGTTGGCGATGATCTCTACACGGTCGTGTTGCCAAACACCGACGCATGAGTATGTGGTGCCGAGATCGATTCCGATGGGTTGTAGTGGACGGTGTCAGAGAGCTGAGAAATCCCATCTTCCTGAGCCGACTTCATGACCATTTCGAGCTGCTCGAGCTTCTCCGCCACGTCGGCCATGTCGTCTGACCGAACCTCCCAAAACGGCAAGCAGCTCAGATCCCGGTTGTGTAGAAGCTTCTCGGCGATTCCGAGCAATCGCTCGGCTTCTACCCTGTTTGGATCCATGGATTCCCTGGCTTCGGAATTCTGGGAAAGCAAATGCCAAATACCGAAATGGGGAAATTGGAAACAGAGGTGTTTCTACTTCTACTTGCAGAGTGTTATTGATTGGGTCTAAAGGGTCCAAGAGGCCATCCCAGTTGTTTGGGCCGAGAAGTAAAACATTTACATATATATATATATATATATATATATATATATGTTTTTACTGTTTTTTTTTTTTTTTTTTTTTTTTTTTTTTTTAAAGTAGAGAATATATATATATATTTTTTTTCCTAATACATAGTAACATATGTATTTCTTTTTTTTTTTTTTTTTTTTTGAAACCAACAACATGTAATTTTTTGTACAAAGAACGCAATAATATTGACTTTCATTAATCACTTTTACTACAACCTCATTTTGATGTGACTGAACTCAAAATTAAACGTTCGAGCTACCTACGTACCCTTCCAACGAAGAGATCAAGTCGAAACATAGTTCAAACGTTTTTTTTTTTTTTTTTTTTTTTTTTTTTTGATAATAAAATTGACTTTCTTTAATGAAACATTTATTTATTTATTTTGATGTGACTGTACTTGAAGTTTTGAAGTTTCAAGTTGCCTACGTACTCTTCCAAAGAAGAGATCAAGTCATAACGTAGTTCAAATGAGTGATGGTTTTGATGATGATTTTGATGATGATTTTGATGATGATTTTGCCGTACACAGTTTATGCTCTTGCGGGCCAGGAGCGTTTGCTGTCGCCTTTTATGCTCGTGCGGACAAGGAGCTTTGGTTGTCACCTTTTAAGCTCGTGCGAACGAGGAGCTTTGGTTGTCACCTTTTAGGCTCGTGCGAACGAGGAGCTTCTTAAATTTGTCAAACAATCTTAGAGGGGCATTCCTTGCAATCTTCATAGCAAGGAGTCTTGACTGAGTGATTGAAGAAGTCTTTGGGGAAGAAATCGCGCATCGTGATGGCAACGGACGATCTTTGTGTCATAACTTCGTCATCCTCCACACTTTCATGTAGCTTTGAAGGTTGACGGTAGTTGCTTTGCCCCCTTTCCGATTGGTGAACTTGTGGAGGAGACCCATGTTTCTTGTGCATTTTCTTTGGAGTGACATAAGTCCATCCTTCAACTTCACTTGACTTGACTGACATGGTTTTGGAGCATGCCCCCAGCGGTTGAGGTGAAGATTTTGAGTTCAAAGAGCCAGAAGTGACGGTGGTATAGTTTGACTTCACCACATCATTAAGATCTAGCTCGATGATCCCTTTCTGAGCCAACTTCATGATGAGATCTTTTAGCACAAAGCACTTTTCCGTCGGATGACTAATGAAGCGGTGGAATTTGCAGTACCTTGGACTGTCAGTACGGTTCATCTCTTCTGGCCGTTTGCAGTCAGGGAGGTTGATCACCTTTTTGTCAAGCAAGTCTTTCAACATGGCAACCACGTCAGAGTCGGGGAATGGATAAGTCTTCTCCTCAAGCTCCTTCAAAGTGCGTCTACGTGTCTCTTGATCACGAAAAGCTTCGGTTTGAATCGCCTTGCTTCGTGTAGGGATTTTGACTGGAGTTGTGTTGACCGTCATTGCTTCCTTGGTGGGTTTCCACGTAGCCTTATCCACCTTTGGCCCCAAAACTTTGTCATTCTTGTAGTCGGCGATCTGTTCTTTCTTCCCATGACGGTTGATGCTTAACTCCATGTCATGGGCGCGGGTGGCTAACTCCTCAAATGTTCGTGGTTTGATGCCTTGAAGGATGTAGTGTAGTCCCCACTGCATGCCTTGAACGCACATCTCAATGGCAGAGGTTTCAGAAAGCCGATCTTTGCAATCCAGACTTAGAGAACGCCATCTATTTATGTAGTTGACGACAGGTTCATCTTTCCACTGTTTCGTGCTGGTCAGCTCTAACATGCTTACAGTACGACGAGTGCTGTAGAAACGGTTGAGGAATTCCCTTTCTAGCTGGTCCCAACTGTTGATAGACTCAGGTTCGAGGTCAGTGTACCAGTCAAAAGCGTTACTTTTCAGCGAACGCACGAACTGTTTGACGAGGTAGTCTCCCTCTGTCCCAGCATTGTTGCAAGTTTCAATGAAATGGGCGACATGTTGCTTCGGGTTGCCTTTTCCATCGAACTGCATGAATTTTGGGGGCTGATAACCCCTTGGCATCTTCAAAGCATCAATCTTCTTGGAGTAAGGCTTTGAGTACAGTACGGAGTCATGCGAGCTTCCTTCGTACTGTGTCTTGATAGTGCTTGCAATCATCTCCTGTAGTTGCTGGATAGAGAGAGATCCCATGGACGCCGTTGCTTGGTCTAGTTTCAGCTTCTCTTCGACTTTCTCTGCTGGAGGCTCCTCTTCTTCGTCGCCTTCTTTCTTTAATAGGCCAACAATTGGGTCGACTTTCACGTCGAGCTGCGCATCTAGTTGGTTGACGAGTGCGGCAATCTGCAAGTCCTTCTCTTCCACAGTCCGTGTGAGCTTTGCAATTGCTTCATTCATCTGAGCTAGCTGCTCCTCGATTGAAGTTGCTCCAGTAGTCATGACTTGCATGGTTGTACTGCCGCTTGAATCAGCGTCGGAGAGTAGGGACTCTGAGTATTTCCTTGGGCTCTCCCCTTTTGATGCCCTTAGCGAGGCTAGGGTGATCACAGGCTCGTACCTCAGGTGCTCTTGTTCCTTTGACAGAGTTAATGCAGGGGCGGAAGCCGCGGCAAAAAGATCTCTTGCCTTACTTCGGGTTATGATGCCCGAAATATCACCACTTGCGGCGATGATGTTCTTGTTCTTTGCTTTGATTGCAGGAACAGCTTGATCCTTTCTTGATGCCATTTGCGTTTTTGATGATTTGAGGATAGAGATGAGAGGTAGAGATTGTCCCACTGGGCGTGCCAAATTTGTAAACACGAATTTTTCCTGAAACCAGAGAGACAAGAATACGTGTACAAAATATATATTTTGTATTAATGATTTTGGGGTTACAATCTCTTTGTAATTTGGTCCTCTGATTCTATCTTCGAAGGGTGTACGTTTGTGGATGAATTGTTGATCCAAAGGGCCGTCGGGGCTTGATCTAAGGATGAACAGTTGATGAATGATGAACACTTTCTTCAAGGGGCCGTCGGGGCTTGATCTTGAGTTGGTGGGAGTTCTTCAAGGGCCGTTGGGGCTTAATCTTGAAGGAGGATGGATGATGAACGATGAACGGATGTGTGGATTTGTTGAACACTTTCCTCAAGGGCCGTCGGGGCTTGATCTTGAAGGATGAACGGATGATGAATGAATCTTCAAGGGCCGTTGGGGCTTGATCTTGAAGGTTGATGGATGATGAACGATGAACGGATGTGTGGATTTGTTGATCCAAAGGGGCCGTTGGGGCTTGATCTTAGGATGAACGGATCTTCAAGGGCTTCTGGGCTTAATCTTGAAGGATGAACGGATGATGAATGAATCTTCAAGGGCCGTTGGGGCTTGATCTTGAAGGTTGATGGATGATGAACGATGAACGGATGTGTGGATTTGTTGATCCAAAGGGGCCGTTGGGGCTTGATCTTAGGATGAACGGATCTTCAAGGGCTTCTGGGCTTAATCTTGAAGGATGAACGGATGTGTGGATGATGAACACTTTCCTCAAGGGCCGTCGGGGCTTGATCTTGAGTTGGTGGAAGTTCTTCAAGGGCCGTCGGGGCTTGATCTTGAAGGTGGATTTTACGAAGAACGAAGATTGCTTTCTTGATCCTTCGGGATTTGCTTGAGAGCTTTAGAGTTTCAAGGCTTCTTTCTTTCTTCCTTCCTTCTTTTCTTCTTTTCTTTTCTCCTTCTCCTTCCTTCTTTTTTTTTTTTCTCCCTTCTCCTTCCTTTCTTCTCCCTCTTCTCCCCAAATGAATGCCTTTGGCCTCCTATTTATAGAATTCCAAAACTTGATTTTTGGATTTAAATAATCAGATGAAATAAATCATTTCTGCCAGGTATTGACACGTGTCATATTTGATGACTTTTCCAATTTATTTCGATTTTTCGTTGAGGCACACGCTACATGTAAAATTTATGTGACACGTGAACATTGAAATTTTAATTATTGGTCAACATTCATTTCACCGAAATTTTGATGTCTACAATGGGAAGGCTTGATTTGGTGAGATCCGAATTGGGTTTGTCTTAGTTTTTGAAATTTGATGTTAATCGATGTGGGTTGGATGAATTGCTGATATGCATGATGGATGTTAGGGTTTTCTACGTCTTTTGGAATTCGGGGTTGTTTCGTAATAGCATATGTATGTTATCATCCTGCAAACATTTCCTGAATTATTCCTTGCAAAGATTTCGTTCTCGCTATTTATGTGTCTAACCTTGGTAATGTTGAAGATGTCTAGCTTCCTGAATCTTGGAGTGCTACCTGTATATCATTTAAATGTGATGACTTTGGCAATGTTTATGTTCGATCTGTTCATCGTGTGGCTCCACATGATCAATCATGGGACTAATGTGGACTGACTATGATCAAGATTTTTGTGTTTCCTTCAATATGTTGTAAAAGATTGCTCTCATTGATCACTTGGACATTGTCTATTTAGCAGAGTGAAAATAACAACATCCCGGTCCTCAGCCCCCAAAACGATCCCTCTCCCCGTTGTGAAAGATCAGCAAGTTTTTTCTGTGTTTGTTTCATTGTGAAACGTTGTGCTTGATGAGAATCATGGATTGGAATTTCAAATTTAGCGGAGCTTGACAAATATCTAATAAGTGAAAACCAGAACAGCATTTTTTCATCGTCTGATGTTGTAGTCGTTTTTTCCTTCTTGCCTTCTATGCTGCTGTATGGGTTTGAGACATTTGTTGACTTTGTAAGCACACCTTTGTCATTTTGCCTTTCTGAGGTCTCTATATGCTCCTTATGCTTTCGTTTTCATGTATGATTATGCTTTTGGTATATGGGAATGGTAACATTCAGTTTAATGGCAGAAAACTTTGAGAGCTGGAAAGCTAAATGAGAAAGTATTGAATCTGTTTGTAGCAACTGGCAAGGATGAAGTCCTTTCATTAATCCAGTCACTTAATATTCGGCAGACCCTCACCCCTGTGCTTCCTACCAGTAAGTTTTGTTTGAAAATTTCCGGTGTCCTTCCTTTCCTGTAACCTTTGAACCGTTTTTGCGGGCTTCACTTCTGACCTTCAATAATATCTCTTGCAGGGTGTTCTGAAAAGTTTTGAGATTGGGCGTTATTGTGTGAGCACAGTATATAACATTTTGAAGACAGAGATCAACTAATTAAAGAAAGCACGTGCAAGTTTTGTTGTTTGTTCTCACAACGCCTGTTTGAAGATGTCTGATTCAAGCATCAACCCTAGTGAGGTTGACATCGTGATTGCCGCAATCAACTCCGACCTGACACCATTCTTGAATGAATGGAGACCAATATTCTCCCCGTTCCATCTGATTATTGTCAAAGACCCTGATATGGATGGGGAGCTGCATGTTCCAGAAGGATTTAACGTGGATGTCTTTAGCAAGTCTGACATAAACCTGATGGTGGGCTCTTCCCATTCCATTCTCTTCTCTGGTTACTCATGCAGATATTTTGGTTATCTAGTCTCAAGGAAAAAATATATTATCTCAATTGATGATGACTGCGTCCCGGCTAAGGACAACAATGGTCATATAGTAGATTTAGTGGCACAGCATATTGCCAATCTCAAAGCTCCAGCTACCCCGTTCTTTTTTAACACACTCTATGATCCGTACCGGAAGGGAGCAGATTTTGTTCGTGGTTACCCATTTAGTCTGAGGAGTGGGGTTACATGTGCACTATCGTGTGGACTGTGGCTCAATTTGGCAGACTATGATGCACCAACACAGGCCCTCAAGCCAGAGCAGAGGAATTCTCGATATGTGGATGCTGTAATGACTGTTCCGGTGAGATCCTTAATGCCTGTAAGTGGAATCAACATTGCGTTTGACCGTGAGGTGGTCGGACCAGCTTTGTTTCCAGCTTTGAGGTTGTCGGCAGAAGGAAAGATCAGGTGGGAGACAGTGGAAGATATATGGTCCGGAATGTGTGTGAAGGTCATATGCGATCACCTGGGAATTGGTGTAAAAACTGGGATTCCTTATGTATGGAGAAAGGAAAGAGGCGACGCCATTGAAAGCTTGAAGAAAGAGTGGGAGGGTGTGAAGCTGATGGAGGAAGTGGTTCCTTTCTTTCAGTCAGTTAGGTTACCACGATCAGCCGTGACAGCAGAAGACTGTGTTGTCGACATGGCAAAGGCGGTGAAGGAGCAGTTGGGAAAGGTAGATCCTATGTTTGTTCGTGCAGGTGATGCCATGGCAGATTGGGTGAAGCTCTGGAAGTCGGTGGGATCCCGCACACTGGGAGTTTAATGGCTAAATTTTGATTCAGCCTCTTCTGTTTTTGTTCCTTCTTTATTCATTACTGATTTTTCTAAGCTTCTAATGTTGATCTCCCTTATAACTAACTGATGTTGAAATTATGTGGGTGGAAATAATTGATACCTTGTTTGTTGTTTTTCATGAAGATGGTTTCTATGATTTGGTCTTTTATGTTTTTCTAACTACTATTTTTTTAATACAAGCGATTAGTCTATACTAAATTAATCTAAGGAGATTCGAAATTGGGTATAACGAGAGAAAACATTGCTCTTGTTAACTTGGCTAAGCTCAGGTTGGCGTGATTTTCTAATTACTTCTTTGTGTTGGTAGTTTGGTCAAAATGGATGATAGTTTTAGAATGCTTGATCAATTGATCTAAAGCTTCATGATATATCATCAGAACATTAGGAAAAACCATATAAAGAAACACGGTATAAAAAAAAAGATCCGTTTATGAAACTTTTTTTTTTTTGGATGATCACAAGAAAAGCTAATATAGAGCATGTTCAAAACTGGTTCTATAATCGTCCGTTGCAATATATAAAAAACAGTTGATTTGGAAAGTCTGTAAGAAATGAAATGTCACAATATTTTTTTTCTACATGTAAGAAATGGAATCATCCATTGTGATATATAAAAAATAGTCGATTTGAAAAGTCTATAAGAAATGAAATGTCACAATATTTTTTTTCTACATGTAAGAAATGGAATCATCCATTGTGATATATAAAAAATAGTCGATTTGAAAAGTCTATAAGAAATGAAATGTCACAGTATTTTTTTTTCTACATGTCAAAGTGATTAAAAAGAAAGAATATCTTTTACGTACCCACCCACCCAGTTTAGCAACTTTTTTTGAAATGATACAAAAAAAAATGTCTCAATTCACAAAAGAAACATTCCCCTCTAATGAATGTTATAATGGGTGATAGTTTTAGAATGCTTGATCAATTGATCTAAAACTTTATGATATATCATCAGAACATTAGGAAAAACCATATACAAGCTGATCCGAAACATGCATAAAGAAGCATATATTTAACAATGGAAAAGTTATTTTCGCACATCTTTTCCTCTTTTTGCACTCTTTTATTAGAATTTTTGGATTAATTAAATCAATGAAAAATCAAAAGATAGAAATAAACAATACTGTGTAAAGAGAAAAGGGCACGTGAAAATCATTTCACTGAATGAGAACTGTTCAAAAGCATGACCTAATTACACAGTTAATCAACTGGTAAGAAAAGAAAACCTTCTCTTTTTTTTTTTTTTTTTAAAGAAAATTTTTATTATTAAGGCATGAAAATTTGAAATTATTACGATTTAGGAGGGGGAGTTTTGAACTCAAAACACTGAGGTGGAAACCCAACACCCTAACTAGAGATAAAAGTAAGCCTAATTAGTAGCTGCATTATTCATTATTCCTTGTAGCTCTGCTGTGACTTCCTTCATAGTTGGCCCTTCTTCACCTCTCATCCTTAAGCACTTGAGTGCAAGGTTAGCAACTTCCATCAGCAGCTCGACATTTTCTGTGTTAACAGCGACTTGATCATCGAGAATGTCGAGCAAACGATCCTCATTCATATGAGAAACAAAATACATTGCCAGATTTTTTTCACGCTCCGGCCTTGAAAAGCAAATGACCTACTTACCAGTTAGCAGCTCCACCAAAAAACGACTCCAAAACTATAAATGTCACTCTTTTCTGTTAGCTGGCTACTCTGAGAGTATTCTGGATCCAAATATCCAAATGTTCCTCGTACTAACGTAGTTAACTGACTCTCATCGATGGGAATAAGACTTGTGAAGAAAGTTGAGGTTCCACCATAAAACTAATTAGCAATATGGGGAGTACCCCAACCTCTTGTAAGCTTATGCAAAGTCCCTCCTCTTATCAATATGGGATTCATTTTCAACACGCTGCCTCACGGGTGGCGAATTTTCAAGTCTAACATATAGACAACACAAATCTTGTGATGTAAAGCATGTGTGGCTGTTGAGCTTTATGTAACCTATGTATATGTACCTTGGCAACCACCAGCGGAGTAAGGATTCCCTTTGTAACCCTGTTGGCATTTGCAGCGATATCCAGAACCATTAGATGAATTGTGACATTGACTAGAAGTCGACTGGCATGCATAAGCAGTACTGTTTTTTTGTTCACTTGCTCACACGTTTGGTTCCAAACAGCCCAATCCAACACCACAGGGACAGTAGTCTCCCTCTTGTGAAAGTCTAGAAGATCTGCAGACGAAAAGTTGTTTTCCTCAACTTCTACAACAAGAATAACCGCACGGATTGAAGACAACGAGATTATTATAAGGATAAGAATGGTTGGCAACACTTTCAATAATGATAGAAAAATCTATCACATTGTCCGGGATAGACATTTGGCAACATCGGCTACCCATGCACGTCCCATTCTTTACGTCCCCTATTCCGCCACAAAGTGACAAACATCCGGTTCTGAACTGCACCGCTGTCGATGTATTCGAGCTTGCAATCGAGTATGCGCCTGAACCGGGCTTCTAATTATTCCGACTGTGTCACACCCGAGAGCAATAAACATGTTGCGCTTGCTCGAGATTGGAAATTTGGAGTTGGTGATCATGTCAAAAGTGCTTATAAATTGCTCATTGTAACAGGAGATTTTTCAGTGTAACCGGTACACGAGGTGGTACACCACGTGTCATTATACAAATATTGAGATACGTGTGTTATAAAGTTAATAACTTAAAAAATAAAATTTCTCACCACTCTTATTAAAACAAATGATGTACCACTTGTGTTCCTGTAATAACTAAAAATTTCTCCAAGCAGGATAGGACTGGAGACTCGCAGTTTGTGATTGGCTAGGGATATGTCACGGATGGCTATGCCGGAGTTAGGGAAATATGCTTGTTGGCCTCCGTTTTCTGTATTGTTACAAGCAATGAGAAAGGTTTCATCGAAAGCGCATACTAGAGATGTGCCGAAAGGATAGGGAATATCGATAAGATTGCCACAAGCTCTTTAGCATCCAGGCTTCGGTTGCCCGGATTCTGCTTTTTCTGTCAATCACATCATCACCATGATCATCATGATCTTCATCATCATCATCGGAAATACTCGTTCGTGTTCTTGTCAGCCACATGTAGATGTATCTTCTGCATAATTTTCAGAATATTTTGATATTATTTGTTGCCTTAAGTTTGAAGGTTTGTGTTTTTAATATTAACCGAGTGAGAGAAACGGGGACCTTCCTAGCTCACTCAATTACGGACTGGAAATTTAACAAATCCTATGGTTTTATTTATTTAATTACTATTACCTTATTTTTTATATACAACATATTTACACTAAGGAGGTGGAGGCAAACTCACAATCAGATTCGCATCTAAGATCTGTCACGTACATGTAAAGAGGAATATCACTAAAGAATAATATTAGGGCGTAACCCTCGCTAGCTAGCTTCTGAAATAAGATGTACAAGGCAGTGTAACATATTCATAGGATAACTACCTTCTTTTATCGAATATTTGGTATAGACAGCAAATTAAAGATTAATATTATTTATTAAAGGCTTTGGGTGTAGATTTATAGATAGATAAAAGAAAATGAACATAATCTTGGAGAGATTACTTGATTCCAGAAGGGTTCCAATCAATAATTAATCAAATCAAAGGGAGAATCAAAATCAATAAATCAAATCCTTTATGAAAACGTGTACTGTATACAGTAGAGTGTCAGTCAAACCATGATCTCCATCTCAATTACTTAGCATTAAGTTAAGCAATTTCAATCTTTCTAGCTTAAGTTCGTTTTCGACACATATAGTGAGGCAGGGGAGAATCGAATTCGATGCTTAGGTCTCGCAAGTTCAGCAAAAATACTCTTAACTAACTGATCTTGAAACCTCTTACTTTAAAATCGAGGTTTCGGACAAACTATTTTTAGGTATATGGCTTTCGTCCTGTGCAGTAATAGTCATGTCTAAGAACAGCGCCTACTAATTTTTACTAATTAATTAACATTTAGCAATGAGAAGAAGCTAGTGTCCTCAATTAATTATGGTCCTCAGACTAAATTAGTGACAACATTAGCGAATCCCATTTCTTCCTGACTGGGTCGTCCTATTGACCGTCAAGGACCAATTTTCTAGCCAACCATTTGCGGAAAATACTCCTCCATGCATTTGCATGCATGCACATCCACACCATCTCACTTCTCTTGCTTCTTTATATACTCGGCTTCCTGCAACCTCTTACAAATCCAATACAAGAATTAAGAAGCAAATCAACATTAATTAAGAATCGAAAACAACTATGGCAAGCTTAACTAGTCTGTTTACCACCCTCTCCAAATCCAGCCATGTCGGAGCAGCAATTGCAAAGAACACCACTTTAACTCCTAGGATTTGTTTGGCTACAGCCCCTAGACGACGTATCCAAGTAAGTTTAAATATATCACTAAACATGTCTGGTTTTCTGGTTGTATTTTTATGTTTTCTATAAAGCGATATTGAGGGAGGGGGAATTGAACTCGGGGGCCTTGATTGCAAGATTGAACGTTCTTAACCAGAGAGCTACGTTTCTATTTTATGGTGGTATTAATTTAGTGGAATTGATAACATTATATGTATTGAAGAACATGTATATTTAATTAATTGGTTCATGATCGCAGGCAAGTTCACAGCAAGATGCACCTGCAGTAGAGAATGAAGCTAGGAATGCTGCTGAAAATGTAAAAAACAAGACTTACCCTACTGCGGAGCATATGAATAACCACAAGTTTCTCGGGTTTTTATAGTCATTGACGATTCTTCGTGTAAATGCAGGTTTCGCAGACAACCAAAGACATGGCCGGCAAGGTGTCTGCAACCGCACAAGATGTGTCTGAGAAAGCAAAGCAGACAGCACAAGATGCTTGGAGCCAAGCCAAGGGCACCGCCCAGAAGGCGACAGACACCGTGATGGGCAAGGCCGAAGAATCCAAGGAGTTCGTCAAAGAAAATGCTGAGCAGGTCAAGAAAAGCATGAATACCAAGAAAGAGACCATATAATGCGTCCTGTCCGTGTCCATATTTCATTTAACCCTCCTTTTCAAAATTGTGTTGTATATGTATTTCCCATTTCAAATGTATCCACTATTGGAGAAAGACTTACCTACACTACCGGGATGCACAGTGTTCCAGATCAATAACATGACGGCACATGTTTTAGCCTCGTAATTGATCTGGAACACTGCCACCGTAGCTTTCCGTTTCACTTAAGTCCTCCCATTGTTGAGATATTTGTTCCTTTTTTGTTTTGTTTTTTGTTTTTGTTAAATTGGGGTATTGTTCCTTACACTGCAAGAAAGTGTTTGGTCTTTCTCTCTTGTATCAAATGTAAAGGAAATTCAAGTGTCAATAAATCCTTCCCCATATTATCTGTACAAATAGTTCAAAAGCTGTTAATTGTTTTGAGTTTTTTTCATCTCAATTTCTCAATAATTTAGATTCATGAGCGGCCACAGCAGAATATTATAAGAAACCCTTGGCACAAGCTCAAGCTGAGAAGGCATTACAGGTTGCTGTAACCATTTACTAGAACTGAAAGCAGTTGAATTTTCGCAAAGAGCAAAGGATGTCGAGCCAAAATGCATGCCGAGCCAAAATGCATGTCGAAGCACAAAGGAGTTCCGACAACACGAGGAGTCCCAACCACATGAGGATAAATGTGTCGAATGTAATATTTGATTTGTCATCAGTTAATCTCAAAACAGAACAAGTACATTGATTTGTTATTACGAACAAGTATTCTATTATTGCAAGCGAAACACTAACATGCTTCTGATGGAGAAGGTGAGAAAATGGAGGAGATGGGGGATCCTGGGAGTATTATCAGTCGCATTACTTGGTTTGCTCTTCTTCTTCCCAACGAATAATGGTGCTCCCAAGACGACGGCGCTTTCTGGAAGGCGAGCACCGAGGAGCGTTACTGGTAATGAGCTCAACTTCAACCAGATGCTAACACAGCAAACTCATAACACCGTGGAGCTGAACATAGGCATTGTCCGACTCACTTTTTCAAATCCCGGACGAGATGTCATTGGAATTGAATACAAGGGAATAGACAACTTGCTCGAAATTAAAAACCTCCCAAGCAATAGAGGTTATTGGGATCTTGTATTGAAAAATGGCTTGGACAGACTACAAGGAACAACATTTAAGATTGTTACATTGACGGCAGACCAAATAGAGATTTCTTTTAATAAAACTTATGATGTTTCCCTCGGTGATTGGACGCTACCCTTGAATGTTTACAAAAGGTACATATATAATGCATAGTGGTCGCGCTGGGTTCTACGCGTATGCCATATACGAGCGTCTAGAAAGGAGGCCGGAATTGCACATAGATCAGACAAGACTTGCTTTGAAACTTCGAGAAGATAAATTTCAATTCATGGCTGTATCAGACGACAGACAAAGATTCATGCCAACAGCCGACGATCGCGACAGAGACCACGCTCAGACCTTGCCTATCGTGAAGCTGTTCTTTCAACCAATCCAAGCAATCCCGATTTTAAATTTTTTAAATGATAAAAAATCTCTCAAAAGTCGATTCAAATCTTTGATTTCATGAAGGATTGGGGTTACTCGGGAGAATTGAGCAAAGTTTTTCAATTTATTTTGAAGTTTTTTTAAAATATTATTTCTCTTTAAAAAAATAATTTTTTAAATGATTAAAAATCTCTCAGAATCCATTCAAATCTTTGATTTCACGAAGGATTGGGGTTACTCGGGACAATTGGGCAAAGTTCTTCAATTTATTTTGAAGTTTTTTTTAAATGTTATTTCTCTTTTAAAAAACAATGTTTTAAATGATAAAAAATCTCTCAAAATCCATTCAAATATTTGATTTCACGAAGGATTATTGGGGTTACTCAGAAGAATTGGGCAAAGTTCTTTAATTTATTTTGAAGTTTTTTTTTTTAAATATTATTTTTCTTTGAAAAACAAGTTTTTAAATGATAAAAAATCTCTCAAAAATCCATTCAAATCTTTGATTTCATAAAGGATTGGGGTTACTGAGAATTGGGCAGAGTTCTTCAATTTATTTTGAAGTTTTTTTTTAATATTATTTCTCTTTAATAAACAATTTTTTTTAAATGATAAAAAAATCTCTCAATCCATTCAAATCTTTCATCAAAGTAAAATCCACTTGAAAGGATTCAATCCTTTGAATTCTATCACTTACAAAAGTCTTTTGAAATCCTCATAAATCTAAGTTGTCTACACCCCTAACATGCTTTCCATGGAGAAGGTGAGGCAATGGAGGAGAAGGGGGATCCTATCATCAGTCGCACTTGGTTTGCTCTTCTTCTCTACTAATATTGGTGCTCCCAAAACGTAGACGATTTCTGGAAGGCGAGCACAGAGCAGCGTTATTAGTAATGAGCTCAACTTCAACAAGATATTAATCCATCAAACTCAGAACACGGTGGAGCTGAACAATGGCATTGTCCGAGTCAAATTTTCAAATCCCGGAGGAGACGTCATTGGAATTCAATTCAAGGGAATTGACAACGTGCTGGAAACCAAAAACCACGCAAGCAATAGTGGTTACTGGGATCTTGTATGGGAAAATGGCTTGGACAGACTACAAGGAACAACATTTAAGATTGTTACATCGACGGCAGACCAAATAGAGATTTCTTTTAACAAAACTTATGATGTTTCCCTCGGTGATCGTCCGCTACCCTTAAATGTTGACAAAAGGTACATAATGCAGCGTGGTCGCGCTGGGTTCTACGCGTATGCCATATACAAGCGTCTGCAAGGGTGGCCGGCATTGCGCATAGGTCAAACAAGACTTGCTTTGAAACTTCGACAAGATAAATTTCAGTTCATGGCTATATCAGACGACAGACAGAGATTCATGCCAACAACCGAAGATCGCAGTGGAGACCACGCTCGGACCCTTGCCTATCGTGAAGCTGTTCTTTTAACTAATCCAAGCAATCCCGAGTTTAAAGAAGAGGTGGATGACAAATACCAATACTCCAGTGACGTCAAAGACATTAAGGTTCACGGTTGGATTAGCACTGACGATGCTATAGGGCTTTGGATGATCACACCAAGTACCGAGTTTCGTACAGCGGGGCCATTCAAGCAGGAACTTACCTCTCATGTCGGCCCAACGGCCCTCACTGTGTTTCTTAGTGGTCACTACGTCGGGAAAGATGTTGGGTTGACCTTTGCAGATGGCGAGGCATGGAAGAAGGTTTTCCGGCCCGTCTTTGTGTATCTTAACTCAGACGTTCCAAGCTCCAATGCGGCCTCCTCTCTCTGGGAAAATGCAAAAGAAGAGATGTGTGAAGAAATAAAGAGTTGGCCATACAATTTCACCCAGTCCGAAGACTATCCTAGCTCCGATGAACGAGGATCAGTTACTGGTCTGTTACTAATACGGGATTCATACATCAACGAGAGCCTAGTTTCAGCAAGTTATGCTTATGTGGGATTGGCCGCAAGCGGAGACGCAGGATCATGGCAAACGGAATGCAAGGGTTATCAGTTCTGGACTCAAGCTGAGAATCAAGGTTGTTTCTACATGAAAGATGTTCGACCGGGGAACTATAGCTTGTATGCAACTGTTCCCGGCTTCATTGGGGACTACAAGTACGAGTATGATATTACAATTGAACCAGCAAGTGAAATTAAGTTAATTAATCGTATATTTGAACCTCCGAGAAATGGTCCAACCTTGTGGGAGATCGGCATCCCAGATCGGTCAGCCGCAGAGTTCAACATACCGGATCCATATCCAAGCCTTGTTAACCGTTTGTTTACCAACAATTCCGCAAATAAGTTTAGGCAAGATGGCTTGTGGGAACGATACGAAGATTACTACCCTAACCATGATCTCATCTACACCATCGGTACCAACAATTACAGTGATGATTGGTTTTATGCTCATGTGACAAGGAACATAAATGGTACATATGAGGCAACGACGTGGCAAATTGTATTTCAACTTGAAAACGTTTGGAGCACCGGAAATTATACGCTCCAATTGGCGTTGGCCTCGGCCACCTATGCCGAACTGCAAGTTAGATTCAAAAACCAGAACGACCCACCTCATTTTTCGACAGGGCTAATAGGGAGGGACAATGCCATAGCAAGGCATGGAATTCATGGTTTGTACTGGTTCTTCAGTGTTGATGTGGCGAGCTATCGACTACAACAAGGATACAACACCATCTATCTTACACAATCAAGAAACCGGGGACCTTTTGCAGGGCTTATGTACGACTACATCCGACTAGAAGAACCTCCTCCAAAGTGATTGTATTTTATGTATTAAGAGTTTTATCGAGCCCAATGATGTTTTATGATTCATACTTGCTGTTATATGTATGTATGCTTTATAATAAATAAGATTTACAATTTCTTTCATATTTGTTACAAATTATGACTTTATAAATACAATGTTTCAATAAGTTCGTAACAAAATTATGATCAGCCAGTACAGTACGGAACATAAGAACCATAGTTTTAAGAAACAGAGACGGCGGAAATCGAAAAACATAATAAAAGCGAAAATACTAGGAAGAACAGAGTCAGAGAACATCTCATTCTCCGCCGCTGTCGTCGTCAGGCCCGGCTGCATCTTTGATATCAAGAGTGAAATCATATTCCTGATCGCATCCCAAATATGAATCACACATGAAGTAAAGAATGTAACTCTTCTCTCCGGGTTCGGTGGGAGCAGCAAATTCGAGCTTCACCTTGGCCCTCCTCTGCAGCGAAACTCTCTTGATGGCGAGCAACGAGTTTGTCTTGGTATCGCCCACTACAAGCCACCAGCCCTCTTCTTTGGCCTTGGGATACCTCAGGGCATCCACAGGGCCAACCTCCGTCCTCCCTTCGAGGTCACGTTCAAGAGTGACTAGCAGAGTGATTTCTTCCCCGGCCCTTATGTTATCCCTATCCAGCACCTCGTATAGCATATCAATGTTGGGAAACCGGTTGCAAAAGCGTGCAATATCCAGCAGCTGTGAATCTGACATCTGAAGTAGCTCGCGCCTTTCATCATCATCCAACTCAACCAAATCAAACACAGTCTCTATACTTTTTCCAGGATTTTCTTGGCATCTCTTTGCCAACTCCTTTGTGAAGTGAGGAAGCTGTAGAAGCATCGAATCACGATCCCACATACCCTGAGTCACCATCTGGCTGACTTCCATGGCTAAGACAGCAAGGCTTAGCCAGCCATTGCTAGAAATCACATCAACCATTGCCTGAAGCAACCTACTTGCGGAAAGGATCACCTCTCGCTGGTCCAACGCTAGGTTCCCACCCAGAGGCTGCCTTGCAAAGTGGGCCTGAAGCAGAGCATTTGCCTTAACATGAGGGTCTGTGCATTTGGGATTATCAAAGGAAAACCTCTGGTGGTTAATTAGCCTCCGAACCACCTCTTCCTCCCCTGGTCGAATAGGAAGCTGGGAATACTCTGAAGCGTGAGTTAGAATTTCAAGAAGACCCTTCATCTTTGTTTTGGAAGTCAAGGAAGAACTGAAACGCTCAATGGTGGTATAACTGATGTAATAATATGAAGCTATCATGCCAAGATTTAAAGGAGAAAGGTCCATGTCATCCTCAATAGCAACACACTTGCTTGCCTCCAAGTCACTCAGTGTATTTTCAACAAGCTCGGAGAGGTGATCAGAAAGATGCCTCTGGGTAACTCCTTGGAGATTGTAGTAGTTGGGATTTTGTGTGAGCCTCCGGTACAAGAAAGTCCATGTAAGGTAATCGACAGCATCTTGCTTGTTCTCAATTATTCCAGCAACAACTTCTGCATTCAGATTATCATGTAGATAATGGTGCAAATGGCTTTCAACAGGGAATGCTTCATACAAGAACTTCTTGTAGTATTCTTTACGAGGCGCGTGGCAGAGGATGACACATTTCCCAGAATTATCTAGCAGAGGGCGACTGGCATGACCCATCATCTGCAACAGATCAGTAACAGGGTAATCAGTGTGAACATTTTCCCGGCCATCATAATACTGAGTTCCCATCACAACCACCAAATGGGCTGACAAAGGCACTCCCCAGCACATTGAACTGCTCATGACACAAACTTGAATCCACCCAGCTTCAAAAAGCTGTGACACAATTTCTTGGTCCAAACTGCTTAAACCTTCATGCAAGTAGCCCACTCCACTTCGCAAAGTGCCTTTCAAAATTTCATCACCAAGTCTTTCAATGAAAGGCTCAATATCATCTACAGACCGCAACAGAAATGATGGTTTCTCCCCACCGTCTGCATTTGAGTAGGTCATCAGATCCACAGCCGTTAGTCGAACATGTTTCCTTGTAGGAACATACACAAGAGCTGGTTTCGCATTCTTGGCATGCTGGACAATTGCTGTGTATGTGGGTTTTGCCATTGCTTGCATCCTGGCTTCAAAATTAGCCAAATCCACCCCCTGAATGTGTATTTCCAGAGGCACCGGGCGCACACCAGGAGGAAAATTGAAAAGGCCATGAGAGCTAGCCCCTATCCATTCTCCAAGATCCTTTGCATTTGCAAGAGAAGTTGACAGGGCCACAATACGAATCTTGTTCTCAGATTGACTCGCTATGTATCTCATTCTAGAGACTATTACCTCCAAGATGGGACCACCCTGACCACCAATCAAGTGGAGTTCATCTACAATAAAAAGACTAACCTGTTGAACATGCTTTCTCTGTTTCCAGCGGCGGGATAAAGCATCCCATTTCTCTGGAGTGCTGATGATAATCTGACCTCTCTCAAGTAGTTTTAGGTCTGTGGTCGTTTCCCCTGTTAATAATTCAACTCGCAGATTGAGACCTTTTCCAAACTTCTTCTCCCAGTCACGGTACCGTTCCTTAGCAAGAGCTTCAATAGGTGCAATATACACAACACGCATGACATTATCAGAGCGCTTCTGATGACTCCTCAATACAGCAAACTCTGCACATATGGTCTTCCCACTCCCTGTTGGTGCGGCAACTAAGACATTGTCATCTGAATTATACAAAACAGTGAAGACCTGAGTCTGGACAGGATTGAAATGCTTGAAATCTTGATACAAAGCTTCATATAACGGATTCCTTAATGCAGTCACAGGAAGTGGTTGCAAGTCCAATAACTCTGTTGGTGGAGGATACTTTTCCGGTAAGATGAGGTGTCTGAAAGAAACAGGTAAAACAGTCTGGGACCCAAGCCACCTATCAGACACCACACGAATGAAGTATTGAGGCGGAAGGGGCTCATAAATTGGTACTGTAAAGTTCAAAGTATGATCCTCATCAATATACTGCTTCTTCAGCAGAAAATATTCGTGATGAAGAACAAACTCGCCGTCATTATCCTCCACTATTACCCAAAATGGCTCCACATATCCATGAACTTTGTCCTCCCACTGGAAATCTGGTGTGATAGTGAGCTCCACCCTCAATACAGTGCGAGTAATCGGCTGCACATGGGCTGCAAGGTTTAATTTGGGGAACTGGTGGATGAACTTATGAAGTGTTCTTCCCATCTTTGGCATACGAATAAGCTCCCCTAGCTCCTGTGACGAGAGGTCATAATACCTATCCCAGGCCAAATCCTTCTTCTCCAGCTTCATCAAAATATCATTTGCAATACCAGTGAATTGGCGAAGAGGTGTTTGGACACTCCACATCTTCTTGTTAACCATCTTACACATGTTCATAGCCTTTTCCGCTAGTTGAGCCCATCCTCGTTTCAAGACAATCTCGAAAAGAGCTCGGAGAAGACGCCCTGCACTCTGAATATCCAAAGCCAAAAAAGAGTTGCAGATAAATGAATAACAGAATAAAAGAGACAAAATAAATACATAAACTAGAACAAGCTGCAGCACAATCCTAACTGTCTCTCAAGCAATAAATGAGAAAAGAGCATGAAATTAATAATACAAACCTGAGTAATGTAGACCATATCTGATGTCAGTGAAAGCCCCTCAAGCTTCAGCTGTGAAATATATGCTTGCAGCAAGACATTGATCTTGGCACTGGGCTCTTCCAGGCTTTCCTTCACCGGAATGGGAACACGATCCAAAAGCTTTGCTAGCTCCATCTTTTCATCCTGCCGCACAGTAACATACTTAAATTCTTCACTGAGCGAGAACAATCGACAAAGTTCAATATCCCCCATGGTAGGCTTCAAATGCTCATTATATGTGGATATTGTTCCATGAGTTATATAGTAATAACTCGCAATGCGACCCAAGTCTGTAACCTGGAAATATCCACTTTTTCTGTCGTACTTAATCAAATTGCTCTTGTCCAAGATGGTTGCAGCGGAATGGATCTGCAAAATGAAAAGTTTGAAGACAACATTAGACATTCATAAGAAATACAGAATGCAGGAATCCAGATAAACGTCGCAAAGTACCACAGCAACGATAAGAACAGAATGGACAAGAACTAAACGAGTCCAAGGGAAACCAGATAGAAGTAAAGATAAAAATATATCAAAACCCGTAAACCATCATGGTCAACAACTCAACACAGAGACTCAAATGCCATAAAATATCTAATAGAACGGGACAAACAAATTCCTATAACCAATACAATTTTTTAAATTACTATGTCAAGCCCCTTATGTTCATGCGTTCCCTCTCCAGTGATATGCACTTGTTTGTTATCTTGTGTAATTAAGAGAATGGTTATATACTATACTACTATTACTAATGCTGCAAAGCAATGAAAATGCCAACACCAAAAAACGAAAAGTTTGGGCGGTTCTTACCAAATCAGCTCGTCTCTCCTCCAATGTAATATCTCTGGAGAGAACATCAGCTTCCAAACCATAGAGTGTAGGGTTACGTAACATGCGAACATACAGGTAAGTGTATCCTATCCAATTGCAAGCTTCTCTAGCATTCTGAACAGTTCCAAGAACGATTTCAGCATTCAGTTGGTCAGCCAATTTGGATATGAATTGACTTTCAATGGGAAGCTGTTGGTTCATCAAAGAAAGATAGTATTGAAGTTCATTGTGGCCAGTAATGATAATCCCTTCTCCATACGAATCAAACTGAGGTCTTCCTGCGCGCCCCAACATCTGCATAACATCCAAAGGACTTAGTTCAGTCCATGCTCCCTTTTCTGGATCATAGATCTGAGTCCCTTTGATTATCACGGTGTGAGCTGGCAGGTTCACACCCCAAGCAAGTGTTGCTGTGGAAACCAAAACTTGTACATGCCCATCAGCAAAGAGATCCTCAACCAGTTGGCGATCTGCCCTGTTCAATCCAGCATGATGAATAGCAAAGCCATATGGCAGAA